AAATTGTGCAGATTTACTGAACTGGAACTCAAATCTGTTGATAAGGAATATATCTTTCCTTCCAAGAAAGCTTGGGAAATGTAATTTATCAAGATGATCAGCTGAATTATTTTGTGTATTATAACGCTGGTGTGCAAAGTCTGAAATTCCCCTAAATATGAAACTGCCATTTTGAAGAGCGACACTTATCCCTGATGCTCATAACTAATTCAGAATAATTATTTCCTACGATTTTTTCCTCTAGAATTATTGACTTATACCTAAACCATCTATATCAAGTAAGACTGCCTTAAAATTTTACTGTATACCTGTTTTACAGACGATATATAAGTCAGGTGTGAGAAAATAGGAAACTGCCATTTTAGGGAGCGACAGTTTTCCCTGATGCTCGTAACTAATTCAAAATAATTATTTTATACATTTTTTCCTTCTAGAATTCTTAAATTATACCTAAATCATCTATATCAACTGAAACCGGCGAGAAATTTTACTGAATAATTGTTTTATAGAGGATATATAAGTCAGGTCTGAGAAAATAGGAAACTGCCATTTTGAAGAGCGACACTCAGCACTGATGCTCATAACTATTTCAAAATAATTATTTTTGACAATTTTTCCTTCTAGAATTCTTAAATTATACCTAAACCATCTATATCAAGTAAGACTGGCTTGAATTTTTACTGTATACCTGTTTTATAGACGATATATAAGTCAGGTGAGAGAAAATAGGAAACTGCCATTTTAGGGAGCGACAGTTTTCCCTGATGCTCGTAACTAATTCAAAATAATTATTTTTTACGATTTTTCCCTCTAGAATTATTAAATCCTACCTTAATCATCTATATCAACTGAAACCGGCGAGAAATTTTACTGTATACCTGTTTTATAGACGATATATAAGTCACTTGTGAGAAAATAGGAAACTGTCATTTTAGAGAGCGACAGTTTTCCCTGATGCTCGTAACTAATTCAAAATAATTATTTTTTACGATTTTTTCCTTTAGAATTATTGACTTATACCTAAACCATCTATATCAAGTAAAACTGGCTTGAAATTTTACTGTATACCTTTTTTATAGACGATATACAAGACAGGTGTGAGAAAATAGGAAACTGCCATTTTAGGGAGCGACAGTTTTCCCTGATGCTCGTAACTAATTCAAAATAATTATTTTTTACGATTTTTCCCTCTAGAATTGAATTCTTAAATCATACCTAAATCATCTATATCAACTGAAACCGGCTTAAAAATTTTACTGTTTACCTGTTTTATAGACGATATATAAGTCAGGTGTGAGAAAGTAGGAAACTGCCATTTTAGAGAGCGACAGTTTTCCCTGATGCTCGTAACTAATTCAAAATAATTATTTTTTACGATTTTTTCCTTTAGAATTATTGACTTATACCTAAACCATCTATATCAAGTAAAACTGGCTTGAAATTTTACTGTATACCTGTTTTATAGACGATATACAAGACAGGTGTGAGAAAATAGGAAACTGCCATTTTAGGGAGCGACAGTTTTCCCTGATGCTCGTAACTAATTCAAAATAATTATTTTTTACGATTTTTCCCTCTAGAATTATTAAATCATACCTAAATCATCTATATCAACTGAAACCGGCTTAAAATTTTACTGTTTACCTGTTTTATAGACGATATATAAGTCAGGTGTGAGAAAGTAGGAAACTGCCATTTTAGAGAGCGACAGTTTTCCCTGATGCTCGTAACTAATTCAAAATAATTATTTTTTACGATTTTTTCCTCTAGAATTTTTGAATCATACCTTAATCATCTATATCAATTGAAACCGGCTTAAAATTTTACTGTATACCTGTTTTATAGACGATATATATAAGTCAGGTGTGAGAAAGTAGGAAACTGCCATTTTAGGGAGCGGCAGTTTTCCCTGATGCTCGTAACTAATTCAAAATAATTATTTTTTACGATTTTTTCCTCTAGAATTATTAAATCCTACCTAAATCATCTATATCAACTGAAACCGGCTTAAAATTTTACTGTATACCTGTTTTATAGACGATATATAAGTCACTTGTGAGAAAATAGGAAACTGCCATTTTAGAGAGCGACAGTTTTCCCTGATGCTCGTAACTAATTCAAAATAATTATTTTCTACGATTTTTTCCTCTAGAATTATGAAATCATACCATAACCATCTATATCAACTAAAACCGGCTTAAAATTTTACTGTATACCTGTTTTATAGACGATATATAAGTCAGGTGTGAGAAAATAGGAAACTGCCATTTTGAAGAGCGACACTCAGCACTGACGCTCATAACTATTTCAAAATAATTATTTTATACATTTTTTCCTTCTAGAATTCTTAAATTATACCTAAATCATCTATATCAACTGAAACCGGCGAGAAATTTTACTGAATAATTGTTTTATAGAGGATATATAAGTCAGGTCTGAGAAAATATGAAACTGTCATTTTGAAGAGCGACACTCAGCACTGACGCTCATAACTATTTCAAAATAATTATTTTCTACATTTTTTTCTTCTAGAATTCTTAAGTTATACCTAAATCATCTATATCAACTGAAACCGGCGAGAAATTTTACTGTATAATTGTTTTATAGAGGATATATCAGCCAGGTCTGAGAAAATATGAAAGTGCCATTTTGAAGAGCGACACTCAGCACTGATGCTCATTCTTCATAATTATGCGTGTTTCTCGTTATTTATCTGTTAAATAAAAACTGGTTGATAGAACTTATATATAATTTTTTCAACTTATATTTTGATAAATTACAGATATTTAAGGTTCGTTACTAGTCTTCAGTTCTCGGTTCACCTCCGTTCACACCTTTAATTGGTATCAAATTATCAATCGACCATGGGGAGCTGTGTTTGTTAGTTATTAACATACAGGTAATTTTTGACACCTGTCTGAGATAACGCCCACGGCGTGGTTCACATCTATTAAGAAATGACTGAGGGACTGTGGCATGTTTTTTCTTTTTTTTTTTAAATACAAGTATCTGTTCAATTTACCGCGATTAAATGTGTAGCCGTTTATTCTCTATAATATAGAAATTTAAAAGATCATTTAATAATTCTATACGAGGTAAAAAAAATGAAAAGTTCTAAAATTCTAAAATTTTATTTGTCTTGCCTTCTTTTAAGATTAAAATAAACAAAGAAAACATAAAAATCAGCGACTTTGGATACTATTACCATGGAATTAAAATCAGTGAGACACCGCTTCGATTTGAAGCGACCGAAATCCCTAGGCATGCGCAGAAGCCAGTGCTCAGTGTCGCTCTTTTCCCTATATATTCTATTAAGAGCGACACTGAGCACTAGCGACAGTTTTCACGGTTACACCGGTTAACCGTCGAACATAGCGAGTATCGGTTAGTAAAATTGCTATTCGGTTACTCGGATAAAATAAATTTTACATAGTAAAGGCATAGAAAATGAATGTTTTATAATTTATAAATGTATACTAACTACAAATTTCCCTAATTTTAGGTACCGTTAGACTTGATCTAGTGCATGATTGAAGTGAATCAAATTGTTTTGATTAGTTCTCACAGTTTGTATAATTGATTGCTTGGGGTATACGTATTTTGAAGGCCTGGGTTATAATTACCTCATTTGATAATTTAACGAGATGCCGCCGCAGACATAATTAGCTTGGAGTTGTAACAAAAGAGCGGCTGATTTAAAATCTGTTAAATCACCTACGCTTAAATTATTCAGAAACCAGCGATTCACTGGACACTTTACATATTACTGTAACTATTAATCATGGAGTATATAAATAATCATTCTCCTTGATTGCGACATATTTCGTGGGCTGAGAAAGAAAGTGTAAAATGGTGATTGACGATGACGTATTTATTTGTCTTTGTTTGTCAAATTCCCTATTAATTATCTTTATTTTAAAATCGTAAATCGTTGACGATACCGTATGTGTGTATTCATTGTATTGTAAATATAGTGTCCCTACAAGTATATTTGTGCATTACTATTACCGATAGGTATAGAATAAGATGAATAATAGATATTGATACTTTTACCAAAAATCATCCGAGTAACCGGGTACTCGATCGGAAGATGAAGCGAGTAACCGGTTACTAAAAATCGTCCGACTTGCCAACACTACTAATTTATTATAACAAATTGATAATTTGATATAACAAAGTAATAATTTGTTATGACAAATTAATAAAAGATACTTTTGCGGCCCTAATACGCTTCCGTAACTTGGTTACTGCTTGAAATTTAACTGATATTTGGGCTTAAATTGGGTTGAAAATGTGATGGTGGGCTCGGCAAGCCTTGCCCTCTATCACGTTTTCTTACTCTGGCCCAAATATATGACTTGTATTTCAAGACAGTAAACATGTACTTTATATATACTCTCAATAAAAAGATTTTTAAAATGCAGACAAATGATTTTTATTATATTATGTTTGCTTAGAAAACAAAAGTTATATTATTGATAAAAGTTATACAAAATCTCTGTAAAACCACAGGAGAATTTTATCAATAAAGTCAATTGAACTCACTCACTCATGCATATAGCTCATGGTTTGGTCAATCGAGTTTTTTATATGAATTGATTTTATTGATAAAATAGCAAATTCCTGTCACTGTGGTAAAATGAATTAGGTGACCCCAACATCTCTAACATTAAAAATGAACAATATACATGTTGTACATGATATTGTAACTTAAGAATACACATTGTTTAAAGAATAAGACAATTTTTTTTAGAAGTGCACTAGTCTAGCTCTTTTGGCAAATTACCCCTAGCCACGGAGAGTTGTTCACCTGAAAAAAGAATTTTACAAGATGATTTTATGCTAGTATTTTCATTCAGGATCAATAATTTTTAAAATCTCTACAATCAATTAAAGTTGTTGATCTAAGTCATAAGTTCTTTTGTAAAACGGGCCTTGATCAGATCTGTATTTGAAGCACTCTGCATACTTGCTACATGTGATATATTTAAATATTGTAGATTGGTTGGTACAATGAGCACGTAAAGGATGTGTTTAGGCTCCCCTACCCTCCAGATACACTGGGACTTCTGGTCATCAGTACACCAGAAATGTTTGAGAAGGCCTTTATACCATTTGTCAGACAGCAGGGGGAGTGTGGTGGAATACGAGATCCTATAGATCAGTGTGTAATGCATTACTTCAACAAAGTCAAACAGGTAGGAAAATTTCTTTTCTCGTATTTCAGTATTTGAATGTCAATCTTATATGGTTTACTTGTAAGGTCTGACTTGATTGTACAGGTACGTCATAAAAAACAAGATGTGTTTGTGAAACACTGATCCCCTGTATGGCAACATAGCAAGGATTAAACATTTCTTAAATGCAAATTTAATATATCGGTACCCAAAGTAGGGTATTCTCACTGGAAATACAATTGTGAAAAAATATGAAAGTAGGCCAGGGTTAAATTTTTTTCATATGTACGGAAATCTCCAAGGTCAAGTTCAAAAGGTCAAAGTAAATGGTATCCAATGAAAGGTATTGCCATTTGAAGTACAGAAGCCCTAGCCCTAACCCTTCAAAAGTTATGGCCAAGGTTAAATTTTTTTTTAAATTAGGTCAGCCTCCAAGGTCATGGTCAAATGGTCAAAGTTCTTGATATCAGATGAAAGGTCTTGTCACAAGGATTAAATAAATAAAGTATGAAAGCATTAGCCCTAACCCTTCAAAAGTTATGGTCAAGGTTTGTTTTTTAAAAGTAGGTCAAACTCCAAGGTCAAGGTCAAAGGGTCAAAGTTCTTGGTAGCCAATGAAGGGTCTTCTCACAAGGATTACATATGTGAAATATGAAAGCACTAACCCTTAGCGTTCAAAAGTTATTGCCAAGGTTACAGTTTTTTCATAAGTACGGAAATCTCCAAGGTCAAGGTCAAAAGGTCAAAGATGTTGGTATCCAATGAAAGGTTTTGCCACAAAGAATACATAGGTATATGAAGTATAAAAGTCCTGGTATCAACTGTTCAAAAGATATGGCCAAAGTTAAAGTTTGGAATTTTTTGTAAAAGTGGGTCAAACTCCAAGGTCAAGGTCAAAATGTCAAATTCGGTGGTACCCAAAGAAAGGTCTTGTCACAAGGAATGCAATTGTGAAATATGAAAGTCATAGCTCTACTAAATCAAAAGTTATGGGCAAGGTTAAAGTTTTTGCAGACAAACAGACAGCTGGACAGACAGAGAGACAGACAGATGGATGGACACGACAAAAACTATATATTCCCGAAACTTCGTTTATGAGGGCATAAAGAATTTGTAATTTTATGAAAGCTGGAGTATTTCCTTTTAACTATAATTTCTATTATTAATTTTAGGTTTTTACTGATTATGACATTGAGTCACTCTACGACTTTGAGATGCACCACAACAGAAGACCAAAAATTTTAGTGCAGACAGTAGGATATGTCTCAGGAGCAGCTTATTACTATCAAAAGTCAGACGTCACAAATCCACCCTGGCCACCAGAGAAGGTGAGAGCAGCTCATTAACTTTTCATGTACTTGACATTTGAAAATCATTTCCCGCGACATCATTTCCCTGAAAGCTTCTTCTGATCAAACTTTTGGTTATTTTCTTTCTGTTGACTATTGTCATTTAACTTTTTACATTTTTAACTTTTCAAAAACTGCTGGCATTGTCCGTTTCTTATTATTATTTTTCTGTACATCTAATTTTGCTCCAAAGTCAACAAGTTTCCAGATTTCTAACAAAGGGCTGAAAGCTTCTTCTGATCAAACTTTTGGTTACCGGTATTTTCTTTCTGTTGACTATTGTCATCTAACTTTTTACATTTTTAACTTTTCAAAAACTGCTGGCACCCCTCATTTATAATCCAAGTGTCTTCGTGAGGGGGCCGTTTCACTGCTTTAGTGTCACTTGCCTATATACGATATGTGATGTGTTAGAAATGTAGGCAATGCAAGTTCTTTCAGGGTATATACAAGTGCATTTAGAGCAGAGACCTCAATAGCATAATGGATAGCGCGTTCGGATATTTTCCAGAAAATAGGTGTAGCATCAAATAAGACCTCTCGTTGCTCGCAACGAGATCGTTTCTAGTTTAACTTGAAATTGCATTGGCAAGAAATATTTTATTCTTTTCAGAAAATATGTGGAGTGTGCTATCATCCAACCTATGGAGGATGGTTTGGTTTACGAGGCGTACTAATTTTCAAAGACATTCAGTGTCCTAGTCTGGAACAGACTTTACCCCAAGATGTTGTCCCAAGTCAAGAGATGAGAGTGAATCTCCTGAATAGATTCAATTTTCACTGGCAGGACTGGACATTTAGGGACCTTATTCCTGTCAAACAGAGGTACTCCCAGGAACAGATTCTTTATTTCTCCACTAAACCAAAGGATCGGACAAAACTGATTGAGAAAATCAAGGCATCCGAGACATTGTTACCGGATAATCCAGGGGATGTGCAATATCAGGATAAAGGACATTCAGAGGAAACTGTAGAAACTGATGACACAAATCTATTGAATGGTAGTTAACAAATGATGATAGAACATAAAAGGAAGTGCTTCATGTAGGAATATTTGGTTTTACATTTCCTGTCATATAAGTTTTAATACGTAATATGGGTCTGTTTGATTGCATGGCAGTGCCAAGCAATAGTTGACTATAACCTTTAGTTATGCTTATTTTTAATTGATAAATTTTAAATACTGGAATACATGTATCCTATACCTATTAAATCTGAAAATGCCACTGTTTTCATGTGTACTACATTATGACAAAAACCATCATAGGATGTACTTATATATTTATTCTTCAACAAATATTATACATTTAATGAACAAAAAATCCCAACAAATTAGAACAACAAAGTGCTTAATAAGCTTTCTAAAACATTCTACTTAAGATAGAGGTATGAGTTTCAGCAGCATATAAACCTTAAACCCCCCTATGTAATGTATAATAAATAATACTCTGAATATGTGGAAGCTTTGCAGTGCATAAAAGTAAGTTAAGCATTTAAATATGAAAAAGTTTTTATTTTAGTTTGATGGACCTAAAATGTTAAAGGCCCCAGTTGAAAGTCAATTAAATTCTTATCGCTTCTCAAAGTAAACATCACGCATTTCCCTATCTCGTTGAGATGAAAGAGTAGTAAAGTGACGTATAAGTGGAGGTCGCCTTGCGGCATGGTCCAGCTGAGGCAAGTTGATGTCATCAGTGTGACGTGTGGAGAGGATCATGCTGAATAATTAATAATAAGTCAATATTACAATCTGATACAATTGATAAACAATATGTCAATACATGTATTACAATCTGTTCAAAAGTAAATACAAAACTGTACAGTACATGTAATTAATTTTATTTTGGTTGTATCATGCCCTGTGATTGGCATACCTGGTAAGAAAAATTAGTTTATATCCTATGAACTTTGTCGCACAATTCATTTGAAGTATGGTGTCATGATAGGGCCATTTGCAAAAGTGTAATAGTATAATTGATAGTACCATCGCAATAAAAAGTTAATATTGTGCTGGCACATTGTCATTTTGTGCTTGTGCTTTATTACTAAACTTACTACATTGTACTATTATTATCACTGTTTGAAAGTGACAACACACACAAATCACATTGTATGTGATCAATGGCAATGCTCTTACACATTGTCAATTATTGATAATTATGCATTGTTATACACATACTTTAACAAATGTCATTATCAAGATACCATTTTGATGTCAAAAACATACCAATCCAAGTGAGATTGCTCTTGAATTTTGCATAATTTGAAGATATTTTTGAAGGGAAACCCAGTTACAGAGTGTAACTTCGGTCCAATGCAAGGATGTCTTAAACAATACATGTATTCAGATGTAAATTATATAAATATAGGTCCCTGGTAAAGTGGATTTGAAAACATATTTTCAAATAGTTACAGTACTGTGTTCTGGTAACCTTTTTAATAAAGGGTTATCACTGACTGTCAAAAGGCAACATATGTCATAATTTATGTCTTGCATATTAATTTTGTTGGGAAACTCAAAACATACTTCATATAGCATTTCAAAGACTGGAGTCAAGTGCAGTTGTAATAGTCAATGGATAGCTGTGCACTTTTAACACAGCACTTATGTTCCATAAAAAGAATTTGGATACTGTTTGAAAAAAGTAGTATTGGGTGAATTTTACTTATGCAAAGCTTAAAATGATGACGATTTTGAAGAATGGCAGGGAAACATTATTTGGGGGTAAAGAGGTCGGTTCACTTTATGCATAAGATGGCCCTGTAGAAATACCAACTGATTGATCAACACTTTATTTTCCATTTGAAGCATTAAAATAAAATAGAAACTTAGTGCTTTTATATCCTATTAAAAAATTCCTCCTAGAAGTCCACTTCTTGGAGAACTGGCTTTATGAAATTGCAATGTTCAGGAATTTTTAAGTAAACAGGTATAATTGAGTACTTTCCGTGAAGAAAAATATGAATGCACTCTCTGATCTAAAAAATAAAACATGTCTTTTAATCCTCAGAAATAGTTCTATCATTTACTAGTTGCATATTTTAGATCAGAGGTTGCACTCTATATCAAATATCGTAAATTGCTTTAAAAATTGGCCGTTTTTGTAGACTTTTTCAGAATATGAGGAAATTGACACATTTTGTGACGTCATAATGCATTGACTAGCCAGAAAATTACGTCATTTTTATAGATACGCAGTCACCAAAGATGTGATATTCAATGCATTGTTAACTAAAACTATGTAGTTTCAGTTTTTCAGAAATCCACAGGGCCAAATAAGGCAAAAGTGAACCTTGTTCTTTACTAATGAATATTTAGTACATTAATTTAACTGGGTGGTTATCATAATGACATATTTAAAGTTGCATATAAATACATCTACAATGTATATTTTCTTTTTGATTCATGAATTAGTTTGTTTTATTTCATATTGTTTGTATTACAATGTTTTTAAAAGTTTATAGTTACAGTTACCTCAAAATGTAAAAAATTTGCTGTAACTTTGCTGGCTTATATTATGATACCCATCACATAAATTAGTAAAATTACCAGATTAAATTATCTTGATTCAAAATTTAAAAAAAAAATCTGTAAATTCAATAAATCATTGAAATAAGTTGAAATGAGTTGAACTCATTTCATTTTTGGGATACTTAGGTAGGTACATATGTACAGTATAAATATTGTGAATATCCAATGAATACACGCTCCCCCACAATCCTTGTTATGATCACTCTGACAGTTATTCTCAGTAAAAAAAAAAATGTTTGTTCATTTGTTTGAGTCAGAAAGGATAGAGAGAGAGGGACAAGAAAGGAGTGCATGTAGACAGAGTGCTTAAAGAATACATACCTCCAAACCGTGTCAAACACATAGCACAGAGAGCACGCAGTGCCACAGCACAGAGCACACAGTGCCACAGCACATAACCCACACGGTCAAACAACAAGCCACACATGACAGAACAGTCACTCCAAGTGCATTAAATGGAACTTTTGCCAGATACCATCTTATTTAGTGTGGTGATGATTCAATCTTCATATTTCTAATTTCATTTTTAATTGTTTCATGTATGGGTGTACAATTTGTTTCTAAACATGCCCATTTGAACAGTTAACTACATGCAGAAAGGGAATATAATAACTAGCTGGTAAATTACTGGAGGTGTTAATGAAGATGGATGTAATTTAAAAGCATGCAATTTAAATAAGGATATATGTATTACTTTTACCAAGGTTTAGCAGTGATTTAGACAGTAATTACTTTACACTACATCTATGTATGTTATATATATTTGACTCAAACTAAGTTCTAAAGAAATAGACTAAATTTGATTCTAAATTTTAAAATAAAATCAATTCAGGTTTTTTTAAAAATATATGGAATTTGCAAGCACTATAGTAGGTAGGATAGTATTGTACTGGGTAAGTTCTACTGATTTTGATAGAATATTTATAAATTTAGGGAATATATCACCAGAAAACAACTCTAGTCTTGATAATATTGAAAGACATGCAGTCAAATTGTCAAACACTCATGCAAAACATGCAGAATCAGAAGAAAAAGCAAACACATTTACTTCAGTTAGAGTTAATGTATTACTATACTGTAGAATTTTGTCAATGTAATGATTATTTTCTTTTCTTCTTTTCTCAATGATCTTAAGTTAGTTTTCTGATGATTTGTGTCATTGATATAGAAATTAACGTGTAAAAAATTACCAGTATATGAAAATCGATGTTTACAAATGCTATTGAGCTTAATCCTTTCCCAGTTTTGTAAAATAAAAGCTGTGCATGATCATTCAAGTCTATTCAAACAGATTTCACACTGTAGCATAAAGAAGGATTTTTACTTCAGCAAGTTAAATCAGAGTGTATATTACCAGGTATTTTAAATTTTGTATGAAATAGGAATATTATGTGATTTATGCATGTCCACAAAGCATGAATCTGTGATTAAACTTGCTGAGGTAGACAGATATTATTTACAAAGAAAGTGATGCTAAAAAAGCTTTGCAACAAAATGAATATTAATATGAAGTTAGTAGGTCACTGTTAGTTTGGAGTGTACACCCATACTTACAATGGCACATTGCGCTTAATTTGATCCTCAGCTTTTGTTGGGATCATGAAATAATTGACTTTCTTTAATGTTCCAGATTTATCAACATAAAACTCTCTATGCTACTGGGCATTCTGAAAAATGGTTGTAATATTATTTTTAGTATCGATTTATGGAACCAAAAAAAAGTTATCTGTTAGTGTCACAACATGTATTATAAATTTTATGTCACTACATGTATAAATATTAAATCTTTAGAACTTTTGATAAATGCTAACTGTTCAGCATTTGTCAAAGACTAAATTGTTAACTTCCTTTTTTTATTTAATAAAATTTTGTTATCAACACTCATTTTTTACACACAGCATGTACGTATATTAATAGTACCGAAGTATCGGTACATGTATTTATTTAATATGAGTTGCAAACATTAATTTTAGTATGCAAAATCTGAATTTATACCTGGAAACCAAACTAAATTATATAATGCAGTGTGTACAGTGTACATGATATGATTTTTTATGTTTAAATGGAGTTGAATAATGAAGATGTTAATTTGGATAATTAAACATGTACATTTCTCCAAACCTTATCAAAAGACTTGAGTTCTTCTTTCCTATCAAAGTCTATATTTGTTAGAGAATACTTTGGTGTGTGCAGCCATCTGTCTCTTGTCCTTGTTCTGTTACTGATCACAGTCTCGGGTTTGTGGGTATAATAGGTGGGGAAATCCCCTCCCTTACAGTATGGATCAGCAGAGGATGAAAGGACATGTGAACGGTAGTCCTGGAAATATTTTGCAGTGGCATTGCCATATGTCTCTCCATAATCATATTTTGTTGTTGGACAATGTCCTCTATATCTAAAAAAAAATAATGCATAAGTTAAGTATATATATTTAATTTTAGAGCTACGATAACAATTTTGTAGGGGAGATTGGGTTAAAAAAAAAACTAATTTCAGGTGTGTCGGTCTGTCCACACAATAATTTTGCAAGTGTAACAGGAGAGGAGAAAATGCAGCAGACCAGACCGGGATTCGAATCCGGGCCCCCTGAAACTCCGGTTAGGTGCTCTACCAACTGAGCTATCTGGCCACCGGTGATCTAACCTGGCTAACCGCCACATTCCTCCTTCCTTAAAGGTCTTCGGACCTCCAAAGACCCCAACCCAGGCTCATCCCTGGCAGGTCTTTCACCTGTCAATTCCAGGGCATGGCACGGCACCAAATGTAACGGGAGAGGAGAAAATGCAGCGGACCAGACCGGGATTCGAACCCGGCCCCCTGAAACTCCGGTCAGGTGCTCTACCAACTGAACTATCTGGCCACCGGCGATCTAACCCGGCTGACCGCCACACAAGTATAAATGGGAAATATATCATATATGTTATATGCAATAGAAAAAATAAAATATACATTTGTGTGAATTGTGTCCCTTTAAAACGATGACAATTAAAATTTATTTTCTTTCGCTTTTCTAGAGCTGCCTATGATTAAATACCCCCATATCCCCATCCGAATTAAGCTGCTTCATATGGGCGTGCTACTAAATGTCTTTATATCAAATCACAGAAAAAGACGAAATTATTATCTCCTTTCTTAAACGAGGGGAAATATTGTCCTTGCATCAAAATTACCAACACAGTTTACAATGAAATAGCAAATTTATATTACAATGGTGAATGAATCAGCTGTTTGCAAATGAATGAACAGAGACCTCCTTTAATTTTCGGCATACATACCCCGGCATAAACCTTGGAGGGATAAAGGTGGCATTGTTTGTTGTAATTAGGGTACCAGACGCCCGAGACATGATGGATATTTTTACACCTAACAGTGCACAATGTGATGTTGTTTACATGCCTTAGAACACACAGTGCAATCAATTGCGCGCATAAGATAGTTCTACAAAATAATTGAAACTGAAATTAACATAACATTTTCCGAATCCTTCAATTGCTATATTTTATAATTCTTTGATGTATAAGAAGTAAATACCCAACTAAAGTATATTTTTACGCGTTTAAATTAGAGGTAAAATCCAGCGCACGAATATAATCGTAACTAAGTAACTTTGCAATAGTGGAACTCTTTTGTACTTCCTTCTGCAGAGCGCGGGATTTTTCGAATACTTTTAATGAAAAAAAAAACATACAGAAGCCTTGTAAAAGGATTGTTTTTTCTCTGTTATTCAGAAAAATATGAGAGGGCTTCATAATAGCAACTAATCATGCCCCACCTATTCCTGGGTTCTTGACACAGGCACTTGTTTGTTTTTAAGTTAAACAAACTCAATAAACATTCTAGCTTTTCACTCAATTAAGACTTTTATTTGATCCCATTTTTTATTTTAAATTGCGATTTAATTACGATTATACTGAATTTGTTTCTCTTCTTGTCATAATGAGATCGATATACCTTCCTAAATCTTACATTCTGATAAGTAAGTAAAGAACAAGGTTCACGTTTGCCTTATTTGGCCCTGTGAATTTCTTCATAGTTTTAGTTAACAATGCATTGAATACCACTTAGATCTTCAGTGACTGCGTATCTATCAAAAATGATGTAATTTTCTGGCTAGTCAATGCATTATGACATCACAAAATGCATCAATTTCCTCATATTCTGAAAAAGTCTACAAAAACGGCCAATTTTTAAAGCTATTTTTCGATATCTAATATAGAGCGCAACCTCTGATCTAAATTATGCAACTAGTAAATGATAGAACTGTTTCTGAGGATTAAGAGACATGTTTTATTTTTTAGATCAGAGAGTGCACTCATATTATTTTTCTTCACTAAATGTATACCTGCATGTTTACCTAAAAATTCAAGAACATTGCAATTTCATAAAGCCAAATCTCCCAGACCTGGACTTTTAGGAGAATTTTTTTAATAGGATATGAAAGCACCAAGTCTCTATTTTATTTTAATGCTTCAAATGGAAAATCAAGTCTTAATCAATCAGTTGGTATACGAGGGGCGTTCAATAAATAATATGTCATCGGTGCTCCGAAAGAAGCAAAACGCTTTTCAATGATTTAGACTTAATGGTTTCATTTAAATATTCTCTTTTAATTAAAAACACATGTCCGTAACATTTTTATCCAATTCCTGATTCTTTTTAGAACACATTTTGGGTATGACTGATCGTATACTGGAATATGGCAGATCCTATGATTTCCTGGACTTGTTTCTTAATTCTTTTTAAAAGGTATTTTACTAAAGTTTGGAAAATGAAACGAGTCAAAGGGTGAAAGATCTGGCAAATATTGTTGGTGTGACAAAACATGAGCTTTGCGTTTATCCTCAAAACTCCTTAATTCTTCATGGCGTGTTGGTTTGGACGCTGTCATGAAGAAATTTATTGTAGTGGATTCCTGATATAGTTTCTACCTCTCGTAAACCTTTCGATTTTTTTTTTTTTTTTGCAAAAAATAGCTATTTAGACTTCTCCAGAAATTGAAATTTCTCCCCAAATAAGAATTTGAACAATAATATCACTAATACTTAAGAAAATGACATATGAAACTGTTTTTGTGCTTTTGCAATTCATAGTTTTTCTCAAACCTTTGCTGTTTTTGTCAAGTGCATCTTCTTGTAATTTGTTTCGAGGGTTTAAAGCAATGGATTCAAGTTTCACTATCTATTTGAATTTCAGACGAACGTTGATAACTACAGTTTTTGATTTGTTTAAATACATGTAATTGTTTAGATATTCTTACTCGCTGTCGTTTTCACTCATTTTTCAAAACACAGGGTGACCATTGAGTACTAAGCCTTTTTTCTGTCTAATATTTCTTTAAAACAGTATAAACTACCCCAAAATAATGTCTATCAATTTTGCTATGTGTCTTGAAGTCAATCAAACATGATCAGTGATAATTTGTTGAATTTTGGCAAACAGTAAATTAGTTGATGTCAATCTTTGTCCCCAAGGACAGTACCTATTTTTGATGCCCATTATATTATTTTTGTTCATTGAAATCCACATGCTCATGTGTCTATAAAACATACATTGATTGCTGTAAATTTCACATATTTCTGTGACTATTTCTCTGAGATTCTTAACGTGTTTTACAGCAGCTTTCATGAGGCGTTAAATTTTACTCTAGTATACTGATTCTTTACCATACATTTATGATCATGTAGTGTCTCGAATAGCCCCTGTTCTCCAGCTTCTCACAATGGAACTATGTGAAGAAAAGTGGTCAAATAAACTGTAATCAATTTATCAAAGATTAAATAATGAGAGAAAGCCAAGCTTAATGTCATATGATTTCTATGTTGTATGTCATAGAGCTCATGACATTATTTATTGAACGCCCCTCGTATCTACAGGGCCAATGTATGCATAAAGTGAACCGACCTCTTTTATTTAAAGTCAGTATTTTTTACATAGCACAACAATAAATATAAGCTCTGATAAAAGGGGAAAAAAATAATATAAATTTTACACCCATCTGTCAAAATATCAATTGTTAAATTACTTTGCTGGACCTTGCATGGAGTTACCATGCAGCCTCAGTAGCCCAGAGAATAACAGATCTGCATGACAAGTCATGCAGGGGCCTGTTTTATTCCAAATAGTTTCTCCTTTCCCATTTCATTTGATGTTGTTGTCTTGATCAAGTTGTTTTTGAATTCCTGCCAGAGGCTTCAGAATCAGGGCTGTGTGTTTTCAAAAGCTAAAGCAATGGTTATATACGGAGGGATGAATGTAGTATTTTTTGGCCACATGAACTGTGGAGGCTATTATCAGTCTTCTCATTTACACATACAATGAAAACATTCAATCTTTGGCTGTTAAATTGCTATACTTATGAAAATTTAAAAACCCTGGTTAGTGAAGGCTGTGAACTGTTCAGTCATTACCATAAACTGTCAAATTACTATCTAGAGGTGTGTTTGGAGGGGGGGGGGTATATATTCACTTCCATATTTATCCTCATCTCTACTTCACATTATGGCACTGAATCATAATGTTTTATGAGACTGGGTGAAATAAATTCATTCTAAATATCGGTAAAGGGTTAGCATACACTTAATAGAACCATATTACAAAGAACTCTCTTGCTCTATTCTGCTTGTGTAAAAATAAATCACTTCTTTATGAGGCAATCAATTTATTTGTCTGAACAATAACATTCAAAGGAAAGAATGTGCATTCAAGAAAGTCATATTTTTTTCAATTATCTGAGTAACTTGACAAACCCAGCACCACTAAAGGTAAAGAGAAAATGAAAAACAAGAAGGGAAATGTATAAAATAAAATATGAACACAGCTATATGAATGGAATTTCAAAATCAAAAAAATGTCTTTTACCCTTGCAAAACCTCTTCTATAACCTATCTTTAAAAGTCAACAAATATGTTCTGTAGTTTTGAAGTTGTATTTAAAAAAAATAATTCACACAATTATATGGCAGTATTCTACAAAAAGGTGTTATCTTTTTTATCTTTAAGATCTATACGTACTGAGTTTAAAGTATTAGCAATAAAACTGAATAATACATTTTACACAGATTGACAGAGCTGACAATAAGAAAGAATAAACATGTTCATACAAAAGTAGGTTAAAAAATGATCAACAGAAAACAATTATTCTTTAAACATATAAAGTATAATGCTGATTTATGCATTGTGCCCCTTCATATTGGTCAGTTTAAAAATATGATATAATGAAACAGGTAATAATATGCATTGCACTGAGATAAGAAAGATTTAATCTTAGGACACAGACAAACATGACATAAAAATATTAGGAGTAGATAGTAAATATACAATCTACAATAAAAATGAATTACTATAAAAGATCTGACATGATGAGAAATAATAAAAATAATAACAATTTTAAGGGATTTAAATTTTAACAATGTTCACAACCATGTATGGACTAAACAAAGTCTTTCAGACAGTGGGTGTTTTTGGTGTATCACAGTCAGCAGCTGGATTGTTTGTTTGTCTGTTATTTTTTCACAACCTGATTCTAAATGAACTGTAAGACAGAAAATTGAGATACAACAAATTATTATCCAACTTGCCAATTTTTCAAACCTCTTATATACATGCATGTAAATTTATTTATGTCAAATGAACGTTTGACATGAATGTTCAAATTTAATTTACTCAAATGGAAAGAGACTTCTCATAATCATAGACACAAATAAATCTTACTTAATGAAATCAGGAGCCTTTGAGATGACATGTTCAAATTCAGCAAACGAGAGGGAATCGTCATCATCCAAATCAGCCTCCTCCAAAATCTGAAGAAGAAAACAAATTTCATCTCAAACTGTAACTCAAATAATCTACAGACAGCAGGTGTTTAGTCAAAAGCAAAAAAGAAAAGGGGGGGACTTGCATTTTGGATAAGTTGTTCCATTTCTTCATCAGTCAATTTCTGCTCTCCTGTTAGTCTGTTAATTACCTCCCTTAAGTCTTTGCCACTGATGACCTCATCTTCATCAAAGTCTTTAAAAAAAGAGAGAGTTATTAGAACAGAAAATGTTGAAAATGGATTAAGGAAGGGAGAGCACTGTGATTCTGAGATAATTTCCAACTGAACAGATGTAGCAAATTTTATTTTAAAATTAAATGATGTAATTATTTCATAAAATTTCAAACACAAACAAAGGTGTTCCCACCATATATCCTGAAAGCATATTCCACTTTGACATTTTTGGGTGCATTATCACTGAACACTGACATCATGTCAAGGAAATCCTCAAAAGTCATACTTCCATCTCCCGAGGATGAAAAGACAGTGGTAATTCTGTCATTAAATGGGTTAACCTGCAAACAGAGAATTTACGTAGAAACTAGTATCATAATACCACAACTCACATATACATGTACATCAATATGTAACATTTTATTTAATAATTAAGTTGGTCTGATACTAAACTGAAAAGCCCTTTCCCCTCTAATCAAATTTTATGTCTTTCAACAGTTCTGACTCCAGAATCGCAATACAGTTGCCTTCAAAATGATTAATTATCAATGAATTTGTTTCTAAATTTGCATATAACAATTTTGTGAAGCAATTAATTCTGAAATAAATTTCATGTTTTGTCTGCTTGACTTCTGCAATATTTTATTACCACATTAAGATTTTGATTTAATTTAATAAAGATACTTCATGAACCCAAGGCCAGATATTGATGCTATACAATAAGTTTTTTTCTTCTCATGTACCAATATAGATTTAATACCATTAATTCTGGAAGGTTAAGGATGGTTTCCCTGGAAAGCTTGGCATTTTTATTACTGCTTACTCTGGTTTGATCAAGGTCCTGGAATCTTTTGAATACACTACAAGTACAAGAAAATCACATGTATTAATTAAAATACCTTGTTAATTTCATTTTTCCCCACATCCTTATGTATATTCCTGGTATTTTAACAATTTTTATCCTATGTCTTTCAATTTGATGAATATGAATAAACTTTAATCAGTTTACATACTGCAATATTTCTTTCTTTGTAAAGTATGTCAGCTCCTGTAAAATGAATAATAATGAAAATATTTAATACTTTGCATATACATACATATGTTTAATCATATAATGCTACAGTAGTAGTACAGGAATTTTGAAAATATATGCTAGAAATGTTAAAAAACCTTATATTCATATCTTTTAAATAAAAAGTCACATAAACATATATCTTTTCAAGTATTTCCCAATTTTTAAAAAATGCTTTTAAAAGACTTAAATGAAGGAAGTGCTATCAAATTATATTGCAAAATTTCCTTTATAATATAAACATAATCGTCTCTAAAGAGAATAATGTCAAATTCATTTTTTCAAATTGGGTAAAAAAAGCAACAAAATAAGTAAAATATCATAAATGGCATAAAGCTTACAATGTTCTTTCAAGTCAATTGTAAATTTGTAAGGGAAAAGTTCTAAAAATAGAATCAGAAGGTCAAGCACATCATGAGTTTTTTTCATTTTCAGAAGTATTTATATTTTCCGATCATTTAGGATCTTAAAGAAATATTCAAATTGCACATTAGTAAAATCAATAGAATACCTGATAGTCAGTAAGTTCTTGTTCAGTGAAGACACTCTGTGATCCTCCCATATTATATATCAAAATTCACACAAAAACAACAGCAGTTCTGTTTTGTTCTGTTTTGCTTCCTGTTTCGATGGAATGTTAAATGTGTACCCGAGCCCGATGGAAAAACTTAAGGTGAACTTGATTACAAATATACGGATACGCCTAAACTTATTTTTAAGATAGATAGTTAAAAACTAAGAAAATGGAATTTTTTTGAAATTCGTCGTCTAAATCTTTATTTCTAATTTACAACTGGGCTCAAATTGATACCATTATGGTTCAAATTAAATCACCAAAAATATACGAAACTAAAAGCGAGCTGAACTGAACGCATCATTTAATATTTACATGACGTTTAGTCAGAAAGGAGTGAAGAAAACACAAAATGTTTGCACAGATTTCACAGGGACAAACAGGTAAATCTTCTGCTAGTTTTATTACCACACATTTTTGTAGCCAATTGTTTTCTCAGAACAAATAGCCAAATTGTCTATTGGGCGAGTATGACCAGTGACAATGGCATGATGACCAGTCCACTGACGGTTAACTTTCATTATGTGTTAAAATGATGATGAGGGTCCTAGTAAGAATATAAGTCATTTTGAAAAAAAAAATCATTTTGATTCTCTCAAAGATAGTTTAAAAAGCATACATAATTTATTTTCCTGGTTACCTCTGAAACAATATTATTATTTTATTTTTATTGCACAATGACAGGAGTCTTGTTCATTGATAGAATATGTTTTCTGAACAATCATTTTTGTTTTCTTTTTCAAACCGCATAATACAATTGAGGATATTCTTTTTAGTCGAGAAATGGACAGGTTTTCGCTTACATCTATAGGCTAAAGCCTGCATGTCCATTTCTCTAAAGAGAGTAGATTGAGGGGTGAATGCTGTTAAAATGTAGACAACAGTTCTCCTACATTTTGTTGCTTCAGTTCTACTGCACTAGTATTCCTATTGTAATGGTTTGGGCCATGGGTATTGTCCTTGGTAGATCAGTCGATAGAGCACATGACTAGTGATGCAGGGGTCCCAGGCTCAATTTCCGAACCAGCCATGCATTTTCTCCTTTCCTGTTACACTATTATGAAGATATAATAAGACAAACAAAAAAGTCTTCCCTCACTCACTGGTATAGGGTGACTGTTTATTGACTTTAAATTTAGATGTACAGAGATAATTTTTCTTTCTTTTGTTCTTTTTCTCTAGATTCCAATAATCCAGTTCTGTATGAGGTAAGATCGATTGTGAAAACCTTGTATTATGGTTATAATTTTTAAAATAACAGTTAGGCCAGCCCTTCATAATCATGATCACTCTTTAATAATGAATTTAATGATAGGGCTGGGTATTGGCCCGAGATTTCGTATTGCGATATATTGCGATATCTTGAACTGTATTGCGATATGTATTGCAATATTTTCAACGTAATAAAAGTGGCATTTTATCACTATATTTACTTTAATTTACACGCAGAATGCACATAACTAAGATAAATAACAAACACGGAAAAAAATCTTGTTGATTTTTATTTAAGTTATGCTCTGAAATGTTCCCACAAAACAACTTCTGTCTTAATGTTTGGCTTAATAACAAACATTCATAAGTCCATTTTTATATTTAATGACAAAATTCCTTAATCTAAGCATATTGCCAATATATCGATATTACAAAATTGTATTGCGATACGATATTTTTTGTCATTGTATTGCAATATATTGAAATATCGGTATTATTGCCCAGCCCTATTTAATGAAATAGTTTCTAATGATTTAAACTACTTTAAGAATTTCTTTTTCTTTGATTTTTTAAAACAATTTAATGTGAATTTTATAAAATTCCTTTGTTATGAAATTGTCCAATGTTTTATTAAAACATACATGAATTAGGATGTATGTAAATATTATTGATTTTACAGGAAGTAAAACTGTCCAAGTCAGCCAGGGAAAGAGAAAAGTAAGTTTCACCGTTTGTTTGAAGTTCAAATGTTCATTCAGTAAATTATGTGATTTCGATAACAAAGGGAGAAAAGAAAAGAGGAGAGGTGTCATGGGGATTTGTTTTACAGGAAAATGCTTAAATCTCAGTGTAAAATTTTAAAATGTGTTTCAGGTATGATAACATGGCAGAGCTTTATGCAGTCATTAACACACTGCAGAGTTTAGAGAAGGCTTACATTAAAGATGCCGTTCAACCCAAAGAGTAAGTAAACACTCGCAGACATAAAAAATTCATATCAAAACTCTGCATTCTGATAATGTGTATCAGGATCACATTCTATAACTGAACAAAAGGCTTCAGTATTTCCAAAGAAACATGAATATTCATGTAGAATACAAGATGGCTGTTGCAAAAATTACAAAGCATTTTACATAGATTGCACTGGAGTTATAACTTGTATGTAATGTGGACAATATCTCTAGTATGGTAGCTCCTTTGAAAACTTTGAAAACCATGCAAGATTTAACTGCTTTTTTATCAAGAGTGAGTAATAGATGATTTATCATAAAAGCATATGTACAAAATTAAAAAAGAGTTTGAAAATCATGCAAGATTTAACTGCTTTTTTATCAAGAGTGAGTAATAGATGATTTATCATAAAAGCATATGTACAAAATTAAAAAAGAGGTTGCAGGAAAGATTTAAAGTCAGTACCCTGTACTTGATGCCATCAAAGTGAATGCAAAACCATTATTATACCCCCCGCAAACGAAGTTTGGGGGGGTATATAGGAATCACCTTGTCCGTCTGTCCGCCTGTCTATCTGTCTCTCTGTCCGTCTGTCTATGCAAACATGTCCAGTCCATATCTTTCTTACGGAGGAACATTAGAATCTACTACTCCACACAAAGATTGCCTATGACGCAAGGGTGTATCATGACCTTGACCCAAGGTCATTTGGGGAAGTTTAAGGTCACTAGAAGAAAAATTTCATAATTCCTGTCTGGTCCATATCTTTCTTATGGATAAACTTGGTAGGTTCTCATTTCACACAAAGATTGCCCATGACCCAAGGGTGTGTCATGACCTTGACCCAAGGTCATTTGGGGAAGTTCAAGGTCATTGGAAGAAAAATTTCATAATTCGTGTCCGGTCCATATCTTTCTTATGGATAAACTTGGTAGGTTCTCATTTCACACAAAGATTGCCCATGACATAAGGGTATGTCCTGACCTTGAACCAAGGTCATTTGGGGAAGTTCAAGGTCACTGGAAGAAAAATTTCATAATTTGTGTCCGGTCCATATCTTTCTTATGGATAAACTTGGTAGGTTCTCATTTCACACAAAGATTGCCAATGACCAAAGGGTGTGTCATGATCTTGACCCAAGGTCAATTTTGGGAAGTTCAAGGTCACTGGAAGAAAAATTTCATAATTTGTGTCCGGTCCATATCTTTCTTATGAATAAACTTGGTAGGTTCTCATTTCACACAAAGATTGCCAATGACCTAAGGGTGTGTCATGATCTTGACCCAAGGTCATTTGGGGAAGTTCAAGGTCACTTGAGGAAAAATTTCATAATTTGTGTCAGGTCCATATCTTTCTTATGGATAAACTTCGTAGGTTCTCATTTCACACAAAGATTGCCCATGACCCAAGGGTGTGTCATGACCTTGACCCAAGGTCATCTGTGCAAGTTCAGGGTGGCTGAAAGAAAAATTGTATGATCCATGTTTGATGCATATCTTTATTATCAAAAAACTTACCTCTGAAAAACCCAGCGTGGGGTATTTTGTCCCGTTTGGACAGTTCTAGTTTTTTTTGATGTCAATATAATTTAAAAATGTATAAAACTGTTTTAATTTTAGATATACAGCTGCTTGCTCAAAACTGCTGGTGCAATTTAAGGCTGCATTCAAACTTGTTCAGGGGGACTTCCAAACAGTGGAACAGTTCATGAAGAAATACAGGGTAATGCACATCATGAAAAGGTCACTTCAAAGACATGAATATTAAGAATGGAGAATTTGATAAAGAGAAGAATTACAATGTCTAATAAATGCAATTGTTGATTTCCAGTTGGATTGTCCAGCTGCTCTCGAGAGAATTAAGGAGGATCGACCAATCACAATCAAGGATGGTATTAGTCAAGGAAACACTAGTAAAGCAATTGCAGACATTGTATCTGTAAGTGTCTTAAAAAAATACTACATGTATATTTAAAAAAAAATAAACAAAATTTTGTGCCATGTTAAAATCTTCTATCTCTTGTTCAGACCTCAAGGGGGACAACTTTACATATTACATTTTTCTTTTTTCAGCTATTTATTACTGTAATGGACACCTTAAGATTAGAGATAAGAGCTATGGATAGGGTAAGAATTTTATTTTTCATTGGTATAATTACTTTGAGTTCCTGAGGGGCATATTTGGAATGCTCTTCGTGGCTCTCTTCTTTAGATAGTTTTGATTCATGGTAGCTCAGTCGGTGGAGCGCTCGCTCCGTGATCAGGAGGTCGTGAGTTCGTATCTCGGCTGTGACTGACCCAGTCGATAAAATGGGTAGTGACTGTTCCTTCGCCATGCGCTCGGCACTTTGAAGTGAAAGTTGCGGGTCCTTCAGATGAGACCTTAAAATCAAGGCCCCATGTCAGCGGCAGGCGTTGGCACGATAAAGATCCCTCACTGCTCAATGGCCCTGAGTGCCGAATAAAGGTCAAAATTTGAAGCCCTTCACCGGCATACGGTGACGTCTCCATATGAGTGAAAAATCCTCGAGAGGGATGTTAAACAATATACAATCAATCAATCAATCTTTAAATAGTTTTGTGCTCTTAAAAAATCTTTAATATTTATTCTTTATTGATAGATTCAACCAGATCTCAAAGAACTAATGGAAACAATGAACAGATTAAGTATTTTACCCAAAGACTTTGAGGGAACTCAGAAAGTTAAGAAATGGTGAGTTTGTCTTTAAACCAACTGATTGTTATTGAGGTCAAGTTCTGTTTTGGACACAATTGAGCAATATTTGACAGAGTTAAGCCCCTTGAACTTGGAAAAAATTCCAATTATTTGCAGTTTCTGTTCATTTTCTTTGCATGTATGTCCAGAGATGGGGATAAGTGTTTCACAAACATCATTTAAAGTAAAGTATAAAGTGAGAGTATTTAGAACCATGAAACTTTCAAAGTAACAGGGTTAAACTTCATGAAAGTTTTAGCAGATTTCAGATTTTTTTCGATACTATTCCTGTTTTAGGTTAGATATATTTGATGAGATGTCAGCGTCTGAAGAACTTGATGACAACCAGGTCCGACAGATTCTGTTTGATTTGGAGGCTGCCTACAATGCCTTTAATCGCATCCTTCATGACCACTGAAAGAGAAAATCAAAACGCAAAGGAAATAAACAATATTGCCAGTGTGACAGTAGGCCCTTGTTATCATATTCTCCAAAACAGGCATGCTTGTTACTGTTTCCATTAACCAGGAGAATTTTTTTTTTGTTAAGTATACTACTGTTCATTGTCATATTTAGTGATAAACAGTAAATGGAAAAGGTAATGGTGAAATTCATTGGAAAATGTTGATTTTCAATGTGTGAACAAATGTAAAAATAGATCATAGATGTAGGTAAGAATTCCAGCAAAAAAAATGTTATTTGATTTACTTAAATTTTGAAAATATAAACTTGTAATACTAGGATTTTAAAAAATTTTCATACTCTGTTTTTTGTGATTCTTTCAAAAATAAGATGGAAATCTAAGTTATGCTTTGAAAAGTGGTAGAAAACAAGGCTTTTGTTCAGTGTTTTCTGTAAGTTCTTTCATTCAGTAAACATGTATCGCTGTGGGCTATTGGAATTTAAGTATGCTTGGTCTTTTTTTTCTGTCAACTTGTGTGCTGTAAAGCACTTGAATACATCCATACTACATCACCAATATAAATGTTCTCTATACTTTACTCTTATAGTATGTTTATTCTTTAAGTCAAGCACTTGTATTTTAACTAATAAATTCTGAAAAAATCTTCAATGGACCACAATATCAGTACACAAGAAATGCTGTAGTAAAATTACTTCTTTTCCCCATTACATGAGAGTTGTGCCTATGTGAGTTTTTAAACATTGTGTGTTGTTTTAAACAGATCTGATGTTTTTTCTTCCATTTTGTCTTATCCATAACTATGACAAGAAGTGAGAATTTTAATGGCTTGCACTGTTCTTCATGGTCACTTTGACCATTTAAATATCTGGAACAGTATGAATATACATGTACATGTATTAACTTTGAACAGTTTTTGTGTTTGAAACTCATCATTAAAATTATGCTTCTCTTAACAAGTAAATCTTGTGCATGAAATTCCTGGAGTGCTTTTCATTATATTGGGCTATATTTATCATTAGAAAAGTTTGAGAATGGTAAGATTGCTCTTTGAACATGTTCATTTGTGTGTATATTCTTCAACATACTGTATTGCTTAATTTTTTTAAAATTATTTTTTTTTTGTTATGCATACAATGTATCATTGTTGTCTTAAAACACTGTAATGCACAACATTGCAGTAAAGGAATTAAACTTTCTCTTCTTTGACAACCACAAAATACATATTTTTAAAACTTTTTTTCCTGCTACTCTTGCCTGGTAAATGATTTTAATTTACATCTATGACAAAGAAATTAAGTAGTATTTATCATGATTTACTCCACACTGTTAAAGGAATGAACTTTTAGAGAACTGGTCTAGAATCAAGAAATAGGAGCCAGATTGTAGTACCCTTGTATAGTCTCGGCTAATACAGTACTGTTCTGAGACTAATCTTGTAGATAAAGTATCTGTACTTCTTGTAATCTGTGATACTGAGAGATGATGTAAAAATACGTTGTACAGTGTACTATTTGATCCGGGAAGGGTCAGAATATTGTAAATAAATAAACAATAAAATATTAATATTGTATTTCTAGCTTTATTTCTTATTTGTAACAAAAGCTAATAAAAAAATAATCTGTTTAAAAGGTGGAATGCATTGACATTTACAGTTGAAATAATTGGAGCATGGAAGTGGGGCAGTATGTACCATATCTGAACACAGAGAATTAAAGCAGCTCACAATTTTTTTTTCTCTGAGCAATTATACATTTGAAATAAATTATTTTCGGTTCAATCCATGCTATACAGAATATTTAAAGGTACTTGGGGAATGAAAATTGATTGAGGAAGAGGCATCTACATTGCACAAAAATTTAACAATTGTAAACTGTACATAAAATATGTATATGAAATGTTTGAAAATACAAATTGAGCTATAATCACAGCAAGTTAAGAGATAAAACCACTGGTGGTGCTGAGCTGTTTCTATTACACTAATGTATTCATCACTCAAATATAAAAAAAAAAATGATTTAAAGAAAAGATAACATAAAATCATAATTTAAGTACAGCATTATGCATAAAATATGAAAAACCTTGTTCACATTTCTTTAACATTGCACTTAAATCTTATTAAATCAATGCATATACATGATTGTGAAAGTGTTTTCAATAAGTCTGTCATTGTTCTTTGCTAGTACATGATGTACGATACATGTATACTTGTACACATAGTATAAGAATTTTGATTAAAACAATGAAATATGTGTTACAATTATATAAACTATATGTGTATTAAAATCAAATGGGGAAAAAAAAGATGCTAAACAAAGCACTTGTATAATGCGTGACTAGAGAATAAAAAGTGACAATATTAAAAATATCTTTGGACGTTAAACGCCAACAGATTTCTATGTTTGATCACTCTGATTAATGTAGTAGCAAGAACAAATTCTAGAATGGATTTCTTTTTTAGAAGTAATACAACTGCATGGGGAGACATGTCTAATTAGATTGTCACTGTAAGATTTCCTCTTAACAAATACTGACTCCCAATATCTGAACATGTTTTAAAGATGTTAAACATAAATATACAGCAATAATTCATTTGTCTTTATAAATGCATCAACCGTCTCATGACTTTTACTTACAAAAACAACTGTGAAACATAGTATAGGGATATAATGCATACAATAAATATCAGTTGATATACATGTTTACATTAATGAGTGAATGTAAGTTTTATATAGGTATACATGTATAGTGTTAAGTACAAGACAAATGGAGAATGGGTCAAGAGCCAGTCTCCACCTTCCCCAGTGTCTAAATATCTGGTATACATCAACCTTGATTTATGGAGACTTTACATTGCACCAATTAGAGACAGGAGATTTCTGTTAAGTTAAATGTACCAGCTTGGCAGGCTGCAGAGAAAAAAATTCTATGTCTTCTCTGCTTGAGAATTTTCTGTTTTAATATATTGACATTTCCCTTTCTTTGGAGAAAAATGTACAAAAAAAATAATCACAGTCAATTTTTGTAGCAGCTTGTCCATGATGAGTTCACTTTACACTGCCTCATACAACTCTGTAAAATAAATTTAAAAAGGAGGATTACAAATACACAATTAAGAGTCAGTTAGTCAACAGGAGGCCCAAGGGTCTTAGCAGTCACCTAGCTATCATATGTTACAATACTGTAAAGGATCCAGAGAATGGCAGATTGATTTGATCTACACTACCCCAGGATGCTTCCTCATAAAGATCAGCTTTTCTGGCCCAGTTGTTCTTAAGAACAAGTTTTTTAAAATGAATTTTTTTATATATTGCAATGTAAAATTTGAATTCCCTGTAGTGGCCCTGTCCAACCCTCAGGGGTCGTGAATTGAATAATTAAAAAATCTACACTACCCCAGAATAATTCCACATAACTTTGAATCTACACTACCCCAGGATGCTTCCACATAACATTTAACTTTTCTTTCCAAGTGGTTCTAAAGAAAAAGATTTTTTAATGACCCCACCCTATTTTTGTCTTTTCTTGATTATCTCCTCTTTTAAGGGGACTTGGACCTTCAATTTAAGAATTTAAACTTCCCTTCACCCAAGGATGCATTGTGCTTACCTTGGTTGAAATTGGCCCAGTGGTTCTTGAGAAGAAGTTGAAAATGTGAAAAGTCTACAGACGGACGACGGACAACAGTTGATCAGAAAAGCTCACTTGAGCTTTCAGCTCAGGTGAGCTAAAAACTTAATAAAAATCAGTAAATGTGAAATTAAAATTAGAGACGTACCATCTGGTTCCCCAATCTCTGCATCAGCGTACTCCTCCTGGTCATCCATTAGTAACCTACAACAGACCATTGATACAGTAATGTAGCTTTATAAATCCAACTACAGGCTGGACCTGAATTTGTGTGTGGAAATGTGTACAGCTTGGATACTTATCACTTCTACTAGATTTTTAACTATGATCTTCAATTACATGTATATATGTACATGTAGTCTTCATTTTTTATATATGGTTTCTTTTGAAAGACAAAAACAAAAGAAGTGTAAAAGTGCAATTGAATAACTTTGTACAGGAAAATTTTGTAAATTGAACTCTCCTATTTTATAAAGCTAGGAAAAAGTAGCAGGAAAATAAATGTGTGCATGTCCACATTGGTGAATGTGTGCTTTGGGGGAAAAAATGGGTTCAAGGAGGCACATAAAAGTGACATTTCAGCCGGGAAAAATAACTCTTAACTCTCCATATTTACAATTGCTATATTTTATTACTAAGCCAAATTGGAATTGATTTGAATACCATTTTCATGTATACTCACGCATAGAAATATAAACAGAGAAACTTGCACTAAAGTGATGTCACAGTGAGGCTACAGAGACGTAAATGAAAATGTAACAATTTATGGTGCTTTCAAAGATTTTAAAATGTAAATATATTTAAGAATGTTTTTAAGTTTTGTGTGGGCTACTGATGTGTAAATCATACAGACTTGTAACGTACCAGTAATTATATTTTTCATTGAAATCTACTCTACAAAGGCAACAAAAATTATTAAAGTGTTAAAATTTCTACAAACCATCAATAAATGTCTGAATAGGGAAGTACTTACTCAGGAGGAGGGGGAGGAAGAGACATACTGTTCATATAATCACCAGCCATTACCTGAAAGTACAAAACATTAAAGACCTTTTAAAAAATCTGTATATTAACTTCTATGATGACATTGACTTGCAGAGCAATCAAGAAGAAATCAAGGTACACTCAATACTTTACAGTACTATGCAGCTACTTTACTTATAAATGAAATGTTTTATTTTAATAAATTTATGTCTATAAATATGAATATTTGAAAATCAAGGCAATATGCATATCCTAAAAGCAGGTGCATTTCCCATACCAATTAAACCAAAAAAAAAAATATGAAAAATACCCTGCAACAGATCTCAGATCCATGCTTAAAAAGTATACACAACATGAAGTCAACCATACAGAGGGATTTTTGCCCCTTTGATTACAGTCAGGTATCTTTTAGTTTGCCATAATAATAGTTCATTAACTTTGTAGAATGGACCATAGTAGTTAGCAAATAATTTGAACTAACAGTAACAGTCAGTAGTTCCAAAATTCAAAATTATATTATAAATTTACATGGTCTAGAATTTACTCCATATAGAGAGTATCATATTTCCATGAGTTGTCTTGAATACTGGTATAAACATGTTTATGTACTTTGAATAAATAGGTCTGTCTACTGAAAGCATTTAATTAAATATACAGTGTGTACTTATTTGAAGATTAATTTATATTTTAATTGGATGACTTTAGATACTGTAGATCACTTAATTTTTGCGAAACCTTATTTTCGCGAGAAAGTCAATGACGCTTTATTAGCGAGACAAAATTTTCACGAATTGTGGTAAATGCTCTATATAATCTTAAGGAATTCTAGTATACCCGAGAATGAAATTTTCGCGAGCATACCGGCTCACTTAATTACGCGAAAATAAAGTTCTCGTGAAAAAAAAGTGACTTACAGTATTTAGTATTTTTAAAAATCAACTTTCTTTTGCATATTACTAATTTGCACATTTTTTTCCAGGACAAGAAGATAGAAAATGTTAACACCACAAACAAACACACTAATAAATATTTTGAAGTAAAGGATGGGTTTGAATATAGAAATGTTGAAAGAAAGAATATATTTCTATATGTTCCCAAAGGCAAAAGTATATATAGTCAAATCTTGCTGTCTCAAACTCATTGAGACCATGAAAAAACTTTGAGATATCGAAGGATTCGAGATATCTAAGATAAAATACCTAAGAAATACTAAAGATACATTAAAATCACATTGACATATCCAGGGGATTTGAGATATAGGTGCTTGAGATCCCAAAGCTACAAATGTTTGTTGGTTACAGAACTATATTTCTATTTTCGGACTGTTCATTTTCAATTGAAACTACCCAAAATTCTTCAATCAAATCAGCTAAACACTGGCCAAGCTTAAAAACATTTCAAAAATTTTACAGGTTCTCTATTTCCATTAAGATTGAGTGAAGTATGATATCATAATTCACAGAATTGTTCATTCTTCTTTATGCACATGTGAGTCAAAAAAGCTTCAAAATAAATACAGTGTATACAAGAATTTAGAGTAAAGAGCATAATTAGATTGTATTTCTGCTTTTACTTAAAACAGAATAATATATAACTTAGTATTTAAGTTCTATAGAGTTACAGCCACAGAAAAGAAGCGACTAATTAAAAAGGGGTATAACAACCTAAATTTAAGACAGAAAAAGTAAAAGCGAAAATGCAAATTCCAAAGAGATACATGTATATGCAGCTTTACCGCCAAGCTCACTTAAGCAGAGAAGCTCACAGCTTTACTGCTAAGCTCACTTAAGCAGAGAAGCTCACAGCTTTACTGCTAAGCTCACTTAAGTAGAGAAGCTCGCAGCTTTACTGCTAAGCTCACTTAAGCAGAGAAGCTCACAGCTTTACTGCTAAGCTCACTTAAGTAGAGAAGCTCACAGCTTTACTGCTAAGCTCACTTAGGCAGAGAAGCTAGCCATTTTACTGATAAGCTCCCTTGAGCAGATAGAAAGTATTCGTCAAGAAGAACAGATACATGCAGTGAGTCTTACCTCCTATAGTCACAGAGAACATGCAGGTAAAATAGAGAATTATCATTAATTAATTAACATTATTACAGTACATGCTTTGAATTAAAAATAATAAACTGCAGCACATATTTATCTTAATATTTTTCTTAATCAATTATTGCATGCTTGCGGTTAGCTGGTGTGTTCATGCTTTTAAATAAAAACATATCCATTCATATTGCCACTGATGCAAAGACAAAAAAGTTGTCCTATGACTTAAATGGGACAATTAACCCCCCAAAACACTTCATCCTCTCAGCATGGTAAGAAAAACATTGCATATATTAACAAAGTGAATTTAGTACCCTTGCAACATCACATAACCTTAATGTAAATAAAATGTAATTAATCTAAAATTTTATACATTCTCTTTTCTAAAGCAATATCTTTAATTTTCAAATTTTTTAAACTTCAAAACAAGAATTAATAGTCCACATCACAAAACCCAAATTCCCATGATCTTGACCTTAAAATTCCTACAATCATTAATAAATGGCTTTTGCTCAGAGTCAAATCACACCCAAGGTTGCAATCACCAACTATTTTATGTATGAACTTCTGCAATCCCTGCATTGCAATTAAAGACCTAATCAAGTTTTTTTAAGTCCCTGTAACCTTGAACTTGTATAAATGACCTTGTCTCAGGATCATGTTATACATTAAGGTCATAAGCATCTTGTGTACTCATTAAAAGCTTCAATTGTTTCCTCCTATAAAAATCTAAATCCCGGACACAAAGTGAAATATCTAGCTAGACACACAGACAGATGGATATGGTGATCCCTAATACTTTTGTTTGCAGAAGACACTGTAACACAGTAGACTGCATGCAAGAAATAATTCAAGGAAATTTTTCAGCAAGAGGATCATTTAAAAATAACAAGATCAATATTTATCATATATGCAAGAAGTATACCACTGCATATGTATGGCATTTAATTATTTCACCGTTTATCTACGGGTACTCACAGGGTAAAGTAAACAGACTTGCTAGTATAGGTAAGTACTGGATACACAGTATTCAATACAGGTATATCAAGTATGACATCATCAATGTTCATTGTATTTTTTAAACTATATTTTTTCCACATTTGTAAATACAAATATTACTTTTGAATACACCGCATGATTATTGTGGGAAGGAACTAGGTACAAAATTATATATCAGGTATTACTTATGGTAAACTTTCCTCCTTTTAATTTAGTATGATGCCAATATTATGTAGCTTGTTAGATGTACATGTAATTAAAAGCTATAAAATTAAACTATTTTCTCCTATACTCACTCTAACATATAATTGACTGTTAACAAATTTTATATCAGGTCCCATATTATGATCAAGCTCTTCCTGAAATCAAATGTTTCAAATGAAGGTGGTAGTACTGGATTATATTAGAGTAATAAAATGTTCTGCAATTCAAAGTGTCAACTGACAGCTTCAAATTTCTTTTTTACATCAAGCATCATTTGAAATGTGACTAAACTATTATAAAAATCCTAAGTTTCTAGCTCCCTTACTCTGCATGAGCATCTTCTTTCTGGGTATTCTCTTCACTCATTCATTCAACTAATATTTAAGATTTCCTAAAGCTAAATACAACATTTTGAATATCCTCTATCATAATGTTTTTGACACCATTTGTCATAGCAAAGAAAGAAATTGGTTTTCAGACAGTTGCTTGCAAAAATATCATAGGTCATTCCAGATAAGCATTGATGTCTTGCATAGGGTGAAATTTTGCTACCCCCGTTAGTTTTGTTTCCATTTGCACAACACATAGAGCAAGAGAAACTGTACAAAAGGTCTGGTCCTTACTCTGAATTGTAAGCATTTGATCTCATTCAATGTTTAGGATGCTCTACTTACCGATTTAATGAGATTGTTATCCATGATTACATTACTGGACTCCACATATCCAACTGCGAAAAAAACAAAGAAAGGTAAAAATACACCAGAAAAATAACCTCAATTATACAAGTGATATTTTAACACATTCTGATGGCATTCTTTACAATTTATTTTCAACTATCTGTTTCTAATATGATAATTTATATTTACAACATTAATTAAATACAACAAGGGCACCACAAAATGGAGCATCCCCCTCACAAAGAGTATTTCTATAAATCAAGGCAGCTTCAACATCCATCCCAATGTAAATTATTTCATTTCCGTTTCACACAGCACAAACTCACTCACTCGCAAACAAACGCTCTCTCACACACACACACACACACACACACACACACACACACCCAATGGCATTATTATATCCTCTCCAACTCTGTTGCCAGGGGATAAAAAGCAGTGTCTCAATAAATACAAATTCCAGAAAATATGCAACAGTAACATATGATCGTACATGTATTGAGTTACAAACAACAAAACATTTTTGATAAAAAATAAACAGAAAAGGTCACACAAAAAGATTCTAGTACATGTAGCACTTGAAAATCAATCATATTTTCCAAGTTTAAGAAACTGAAAACAGACACAGACTGAAGAGAAATTCTTACTTATACCAGAAGTTTTCAGCTGACAGGAAAAACAAAATGAAGCTGACCTTTGAACCCCATAATGATAAATAAAGTACAACATTTAAAACAACCAATCATGTCATTACATACATACAAGAGTACTTACTCTGGAACTCCCATAGCTATAGCACAATGCAGCAAGAAAAAGAGAACTTCGTAAAAATACCCACTTCTTACAGAACACAAACTTTAAAATAGCATGAATTTCTTAGTTAAATTAGGTCCACATATACCTATTCCTGTGGCCGCTAATTTGACAAGCCATTTTCCCTTAGGGTTGTCCGTTATCCGGATTATCTGAACTCTCATGCCCTTTTTGACCTCCAGACTGTTTTTGCTTCCTTTTTCGTCCTCCATAATGTTACCTTCACCTTGTGGATTGTCAAGGTCAGACCGCTGTATCTAAGGTCAAGATAAAAGGAACACATTTCACTTGCAGCAACTATTGTAGTAAATCATTTCTTTCTAATTTCTTTGATCATGTCTTTGAAAGCTCCTGCAAAGGTCTTTTTTCTTGTAATATTTTCCCATATATGCAACATAACTATTTTCTAGACAAACAGCTGAAAAATATGATCTTTTGAAACCATTAAATGAAATTTATTAATTTGCAGTAACAATTTTTTTTCAAAATAATGCTTTGCACTTGTATCATAAAAAAGAATAATGCTTTCACTTACATTAAACTTTTTCTTGAGTGCTTTCATTTCTTTCTCGAATTTTTTCTTTTCTTCCTCTTGCCGTTTCTTTTCTTCCTTCATTCTTTTCTACAATAAAGGGAATTCAATGTCATTATCCATTACAATAATAGCAGTGTCTTCAATATTATTCTCAAAAAGGTATATTACTTTATTGCAATAGATTCAATATCTCCTCCACCACCTAAGGCCAAATAAAAATATATGTGTTTCCTGTAAGAGGCCACAAAAAAAAAATAATAAGAGTAGGTAGGTGGAGGATAACTTTTTAAAACTTTGCTTTTAATTTTGAAAGCATCAATTAATTATTCAATAAACTTTTTTTGTTATACACACACATATAAATAAACATAGACATAAAAAAAGAGTACGCTTTAGAACATGTAAAAATTATGGTAGATGTTAGAACAAAAATACAATTTAGTGTCAAGATCTGTAAGAAAAAGTAGTAGGGTATGTGGTTAAAAATTAGGGTCAATCTAGGTACAGGAAACACACTCATTTTTTTGTTTTAGCCAATATAAACTCCATCTGATAAACCATCATACAGGCTGAAAGAAGTTTTGTATAATAATGATATTACTTATATATAACTCCGGTTATCTTAATAAAGTCAAACATAGCTGCAGAACTGTAGCTCTCGATCTGCTTGATAAAAATCGGACAGATAAAGCAGAGAGCTACAGATCCATGCATTGTAAAAACCTTCCATTTACACCACCAAATTTTTGACCCTCCTTTCAGGTATATTTCTTGTAGTTTATGCCTTTTTATGCTCTTGGAATGGTATCCGATAATTAATCATATATTTCACTATTGATACAGGTACACTATAAATACATAAAATGTTATAAATGCTACCTGAAGTGAGCAACAAAAAAATTGGTGGCATAAATGGAATGTTTTGACAATGCATGGATCTGTAGCTCTCTGTCCAAATTTTCTCAAGCAGGGAGCTAGAGTTCTGCAGCTAAGTCAAACTGTGTTATCTTGCACTTGACAGGGTTGAGGAAAAACTTCATGATATTTGATTATTTAGAATATTAAGTTTAAAATACATCAATAAAAAGTGGGTTGGGACTTTGAACTCCCTATGAAATATCCATGGTGTTTAAGATAGCAATATTTAAGATACTTATTACAGTTGAACTGTATTTAATATGAACCTGTTCTTCCTTTTTATTTTTTTCTTCCTTCTCCTTTCTCTCTTTCTCCAGTCTCTTCTCTTCTTGTTGCCTTTTCCTTTCTTCTTCCTCTTTTCTGTCCATCTCTCTGTATGATACATCATAATGTACTATAAGGGTAATTCTGAATCATCTAAAGAGCTTCAAGAGCCTTATACAGTTTCTACAGCAGCTTCATGTTTAATACAAGTTTCATGTATAATACAATTTTGTGTAGAGACCTTATTTGTACCTTGCAGTGTAGGAATATATATAATTTTTTCCAAGATTTTGTCATTGAATAATTACTACTTTAACATGATTACTCACAAAAAATCAAGGTACCTTACCAGGCATTTGTGCGAGATACCAGAGGTTGGCATTTCTTATATAATCCTTTGGGAAAAAATACTTAGTTTGCCAAAATTACATTTTTAGTGTTTCAAATTTTTAAAAACCAGTTTAGAAAGTAATAAAGATTTTGTATATTTATCATATATTATAAGATTTACAAAATAGATATTTGGGGATTGTATAATCTAACCTTAAACCATTCTATAATATTTTCATGCAGTATCTCTACTTAAATTACAAAGTATGTAAAGAAGAGGTCCAACTGCCATAATGCTAATCTGTGGGTGTATCACTTATTTATATAATTATTAAAGCTTCTGGTAATTGCTGTGACACACCATTATTGTGAAAAGAGGAAAATACTTATTTTGATATATTCTTCACTAAGAAATTTTGCAATTACATGTAAATGTTTTAGAAAGCTTATATGAAAACACATTTAAAATAAAATTTTATTTATATGAGCTTATCATATCTTTGAAGCATGAAAATTGTTAAACTTTTCTCAAAATTTTCCTGGCTGCATTTCCTTGTCAAGTGTATGTTTATTTGAATGAAAGGTGACTTTTAATAAAACATGTATGTAGTGGATAAGTAATACACCAACCAGTATAATTAAATGCAAGTTTTCTTTTCAATATTCAAAGAAAAGACCAACATAGAAAAAATCTCATAATCTACATTTTCTCAGAAAATGACTTTCTCATTCAAATTACCATCATAAGGTCAAGAAAATGAGGTCTAGAATCGACATATTATAAGCATGCAACCATACATTGCCCGATGTAACAGAATTTTTAAAAAATTCCAATCCAGTTTTTAAGCACTCGCTCAGGAAAAACCCTTTTAGTAATTGATAAAACTCTATAAATAGACTGGCTTGAACTTACTCTTGAATGTCATCCAGTGGTTCGTACACATCATCCTGTTCTAAGCCCTCTTCTTCCTGTGTGACAGTTAATGTACAGATTAGATCTAAATACTTAACATCATAATACTAAATTAGGCTTTTAAAGAAATTTAAGCTTGTATCCTGTCTTCTATCTCCAGTATTGGGACACTGCATACAAAGTTAAATTTAAACAAAGATGAATCTATTTAAGGAAATTTCTAATGAATACAACAATAGTGGTACATGTTACACCATGGTAGGAGTGTTTGCGGAATAAGGATTTCATCTTATATCGAGGGTTAGAATCCCACTGTGGGGCATGGAGACCAATCTTTTAGGTGAGAATGTAAATGTCCTGTGTTGCAGTAGGTGCTAAACTGCTGGCACATAAAGACCCCTGACTGCTCAAAGGCCCAGAGTGCCAAATGTAGGTCTATATTTGCACCCCTCCACCAGTAAGTGGTGGCATTCCTATATGAGTGAAAAATTCTAGACAAGAATGATAAACAAACAAACAATACAACACAACACAGTAGACCAAGAAACACCAGAAGTGTTATACAATTAAAAAATTAAGGCCTTAATTCATTCTTATGAAAACATACAAAAAAAAAAAACATGAGGACATATGCACTTTTAACATACCTGCTTAACATCATAATTTAGGATAGTGCCCATTTCAAGCAGAATATTACTTTTTCTCCACAGATTTCTAAGAATTAGTTTGTATTAATTGTTTTAAAATGGCCACATCTTTCATATCAAAGGTCATAGAAAACACTTACATTAGGAATATCTTTTTAAAATCTTTTCCTTAATTGTGCAGACAGACACTTCTATCATGTATATTAAGCAAGGGCAATGTTTAGATCAGGACTATAAATAAAGCACTATTGTTTACCATCACTCCATGAACAGCAAGTCAATTTTACATGATGAAAACTTAGGGTGTTGACACACAGACTCTAAATTACACAACATCTTGAACCATTATATATTTTGCAAAGCTGTGCAAGGAAAAAAAGAACTTGCAGAAGAAATTTTAACTTACAATCCCACCAGCTTCAGCATCTTGGTATTCTTCTTGTTCAATCTCATCTGTGAATCAAAAACAAAAATTTATGCAAGTTGCAAAGTGATTTTATTTACTTATTTATTTTTAAAACTGTATGCAAAATCTTCAATGATCAAGAATAGTTTTCAAATCATGTACCACTAAAGAATTATTTCTAAACAAAAACTTCACAATAGTTTGTTTAAGAATGAGATTTACTGTCAGCAGATACTGATGGTGTTGATGGTGGGGGTGGGGGTGGTCTCCCCCTGGCTGGTATTGAGGGGGGTGGTGGGGGGAGGGACGAGAGGTCCACCTGTGGGGGGCTAGCGACATTGGCAGTATCAGCATATTCCTCTCCCTCATCCTCTTCATCAGAGGCCATTTCTGGTCTGGGGGTGGGAAAAATTCAGAGAATTAGTCATGTATCTATATTTTCATATATAAAGTTCTTACTTCCTTATAGTTTCAAATTCTTCAAATATATCTCTGTCTGTAAAAGTTTCCCTCTTGACTTTTCAATTGCGACACTTTAGATATAGATCTATATACGTGTATTTGTACAATGTCTGATTTTTGAATTATGATCAAAATAGCAATGAGCACAACTGTAAGTCAGTTTATACATACATAAGGGAGACAGCCTTTGAGGCCCTCCCCTGTGTGGTGGTTCCGGGCCTCCTCGATACTGGTTCCTCAGGGAGTTCTTCATAAAGTTCATCTACCTCAAGCTCCTCCTCTGCTTCTGGGGGAGGTTCAGGTTCGTCCTCTAAAAGATCAAAGTTAAGCATGAAGTAAACGTAAAGGACAAAGGTGGAACATTCAAAGATTTCTTGTTGGGTACAGTCATTCCTTGTTTTAAGTTTTTAAAAAATAGAAAAAAACTCCATTATAATTCAATATTTGTCATTTCTATTATAACTCATATTCATGTACATGTATATCTGCAAAAAGTAGTATGTTTCAAATATTGCACTGTATCTATAGTTTAAATAAATTTTCATTCATTTGAATACATACACAATATCACAAACACAATGAAATACTAGGCATGGCTATCACCTGTAAGTGGTCAATTGCACCAAATGTAACAGTTAAGGGTTGAATTGAGGGCTAGACCTGGAAATAAACCTAATTAAGACCCCTACACCAGGCAGGTGCTCCAACCACTAAGCTTAACCAAGTCCAATATCCATAGTCCATACAGCCGGAAACTTCAGTTCATCTTTATTATACATGATGCCCAGATGAAAAAAAGTCACCCAACTTTATACACAAGTTTTTTTTATAAAAGTCATCAGAAGTCAACACTCTAGTTTCTTAAATACTTTAAATGAAATAAAGGGTTTAAAATTCTTCATTTAAATGCCCCATGGAAATCAATGAAGATAACGGGAACAACCAATATATATACAATGTACATACCAGCAAAGTGTGTACACATGTTGGTAGTGACAGGATCATGAATTTATTACAGTTTCTGTTATAAAGATCGCGATGCTAAAATACTCAGTTATATTTCTTTTCCACTTAATAAAACAAAAGACAATTGGTTATTGTCAATTTCACAACAATAAAAAAAATATCCCAATGAAAGAATTCTTTAAAAATGTCTATGACCTGTACATCTTTTGTGTAATCTTATTTTGGCAAAAATATATGTGTATTATCTTTTACTGTGTACTTAAACACCTACAAAATGCTTATAAGAATGCAGAAAGTGCATACTGCTATACTTATATTGCAAGTATCAGGTAATCTAGTCGGAACCAAATATATTTGCCAACATGCAAGTGCAAGGCATGCAGATGTTCTAGAGAAGTTGGTTGAAAAAAAAACGAACAGAAAATTGACAATTGATAAACAGACTGAAAGAGTCTGATTAAAAATTTCTAATGAACCAAGGTGTTCACAATATAAAAAAATGCACTGTCATCTCCGTTTTCACAAAATTTGAGCACACACAGGCATATACCCCCTACAGCTTTTAACATGGACTAAAAATGACACAAGTACCGTATTCATTTTGATCTCAGTGTGTCTTTCACACTTATAGACCTGGTAAGTGTTAATTAATATGAAGATACAAATTAAATCCATCAAGTGACCTGGACCAAAAATGCCAGAGTTAAATACTTAATTATGAACATATTATGCAAAGAGTGTCATCCTCACAACGAGTTCAAATTAATATGGGAGTTATTTTTTTCTGCGTATGAGCTATTTTAAACATTTCCCTTAATTTTTTGTATAGAGAAGGTTACACTCGCGATTTTTTTCTTACATGTACATAGTACATGTTATCACGATATGCTATAGCTAATACACATTATAAGGTCATATTGTGACATTTATAGTTCTTTACTACTCAAGGTTGATCAACAAAATGTTTCTGCATGAGAGCAATTCTTCAATGTTTCATCAGGGAAATAATGTATAATTTATTAAAAAGAAAGATATCAAAGCATTGATAAAATTGTTCCACACATCTGATGCATTTTTCACATTTTTATAATATCAGAAATTAAAAAACTTGGCTGCATATCTCAAAGGAACTTATAAAGTACCGTAAAACATGCTTATAATTAGGTACCAGGGACGGATGATTTTGCTTTATTATAAACATAATTAAAGCCACAATTTAAGAAATGAAAATTACTTTACAGTACACACTAATACATTATAAGACTAAGTGTGTTTGCTATATAAGTGTGCATGTCTTACTGCATAAATTAGAGATTTTATATACTTAAAATATGTCAATATTTTTTAAACACTCCTGTATGTAAATTAACTTAATTACCTATCTTTAACAACTCAGCAATGCATTCCCTATTTAACACAATGGTTGAAAATCTGTTGAAGGAATGAAGGAATGATAATTATATTAGAAAGGACATAGTATTTTAGAAAAAATCTCTTTTTCAACTGCATGTTATTTCGTGAGTTTCAGGTGTCATTTTTTGGTCTTTCAGAATGAGAGAAAGTCATAAAATGCCTTATTCTGAAGAGGATTGTATACATGTATACTGATCATTGCTGGTAATTTAATTAATTCACAGAACTGTGTTGGTTTAACAAAACAAAAACAAAATCACACAACCATGAGTCAACATTTAGCATGGCACTATTAAAAAAGTATTGTGTATATATTTACTGTTTCATCATGAACAGGGAAGTCCTCAAATCAAGTGAAACCCAAGTAACTGTACACGAAATGTTTAAAGTCAAAGACTATCAGGTTACAGTGTTTTTAGACATGTCTATTATACATGTATAATGAGTTTCTTGATAAATGTATTACAAACACAAATATTTTCTACGAAATAAAAGACATATAATTTTTAAGTCTAAACTGAAAGCCATGTTTTTCCTTACATATTTTGAACCCGTACTCTATCAAATTATCTCTGAAGTTTTTCCCTCCGTCCTATGCAGTTCAGAATAATGAGATTTGACTGTAATTATGCACTTGAAGGAGTATCAAATAATTTGTACATGTAGAATCCACAGCATCATGAAAATTTTTAGTACAAACTTATCCTGCACAAAATGAGGATGCAAGGCTTGCTATAAAATACAAGAAACTGTAGCTTTGTTTTTCCATAAAAGAACGTTCTGAAAGATATTGTAAAATTTGTCCTCCTGTTGCAGACCTTATTTTAGCTGCAGATCTGTAGCATTATGGTTTTATATATTTGTCTTTGACCATAACGCTACAGATCCCATAATGCAAAAAAGGTGCAATATTTTTTGTGCACTTTTGGGGAGAATTTCTCTACTTTCAAGCATTACTAGTCAATTAACTACCTGTCACTCCTTAATTCTGGGCACATTATTTTAACTTTCAAGCATTACTAGTCAATTAACTGTATTGCTATGTATTGCCAATGTAATAAAAATGGCATTTTCTCCTTTAATTTACATGGGCACATTATAACCAACACAGAAAAAAAATCTTGTTGAATTCATTTAAGTTATGCTCTGAAATGTTCCCACAAACAACTTTTGAGTTACTGTTTGGTTTAATAACAAACTTTTATAAATCCATTTTTATATTTAATGACAAAATTCCTTAATCCATATTGCTATATATAGTATTGCGATACGTATTTTTTGTCATTGTATTGCAATATATTGTATCGATAATTGCCCACTCGTGATAAACTTGATTAAAATACTTTTTAGATTGCTGAAAATTCACTTCAAGGGAGTTTTTTGCCTGTAAAGACAACTATAAATGGTTGAGAGGAGGGTAAATATACATACTGGCTACAAAACGTTTCTAGAATTAGGGAGTGAAAGGTAGTTGATTGATCAATGCTAGAAAGTGGAGAAATTCTCCTTATTAGTGCGCAAAAAATATTGTGCCATAAATTGCACCTTTTTTACATTACAGGATCTGTAGCATTATGGTCAAAGACAAATATATAAAACCATAATGCTACAGATCTGCAGCTAACCTTATTTCATTTGAATGTTTGCTACACAGGAATTTAATAAAAATTTTTCAAACATTTAATTGACTTGCTCCTCTGCAGAAAACAATTGAAAATGTTCCTAGTACATATCTAGAAAAGTTTGAAAAATCTACAATTGACTCCTGATTTCTTAGCTATCATTGGAAGACTGATATACTACATATTTACAATAGGCAGTATCATTATAATAATCATGCTATGATAATCAAAATTTCATTGTTAAAAATCAAAGTACTCAGAAGTACAGAGAGCCGGGCTCATTTACAGAGTAGAATGGATTTCTTACATGAATCACGTTTATATTCTGATGAAAAAATTATTTTAAAACTATCAATGTAAATGATAAGACACTGACAGTGAGTTTTTCAATCCTAATACCACGGTCCGATTTTGTCAGAATCAGAATTAATCTGGTACCGCAGATGAATGTAAACAAACAGGCCAGTCTGGTTCCCTCTCCTGCTTTACCTCGTATATGTAGAGAACTACGGTAACACTGATTATCAAAAATCCTTACGCTAATGAACTATGTTCTTTGACTTATGAAGTTTTCAAAGTCATAACTACTAATGATTACTTTATATCGATAAAACTTCGTTTTATTTTTGTTGCTTTATTTAGCGTTTGTATTATCTCAAAATCGGTTGAGAGTAAGAACTATTTTTTTGCACGTAACTTTAAAATTTCATTGTTAGCAATAAGCCCGGCTAATAAATTCAGGTATTAACATGATTTAGGTGTACTGAGCATAAGGAATTCTCTCTCTCTTTCCCTCACTTGCACAATAAGTTTTCATATGCACATTAGTAAGAGAATTTTCAAATCTATGCTATATACTTTACCTGTAGTAGTATTTAGCCTGGATTTGTATTCCTCTACAATACTGTCTATATTAGTGACAACAGGTAATTTTGTAGGCTTTGGAGGAGGGGTTATATCCACTTCTATTGTCTTTATATCTACAGCATAAAACTTTTTTTGATCAAATTGCCGTGTTATAGATTTCCGAACTACAGACTTCTTAGTTTTTAAGTTCCTTAACACAGGTGGTGGTTCGTCTGATTTTTCACTACTGCTGCTTGTCCTCCGCAGTCCTCCTATAGCTTTGTTTAATTCAGACTGGTTTGCCAAAAAAGGACTGCTTTTAAGTCTACTTACAGGAGGAGGTTTGTTTTCATCCTTTGAATCTGTTTTACTTGGCTCTGGTTTGCTCAAAGGCTCTGGCTTGTTTTGGAGATTTTTTTGTTTCCACAGTGGTATTGGTTTTTCTTCTGTCACCTTATTGGTTTCAATGGCTGACTTTTTACTTTCCAGCTGAGCTTTCCAAGGTGGTACATTCTCACTTTTGTTAGAAGTATTTTCTTCATCCTTCTGGTCAGTAGAAGGTTTACGTTTCCATGCAGGCACAGGTTTTGCAGGATCTAGTTCCTTAGTTGGTGCTTTCCAAGGTGGTGCAGGTTTTTCAGATTCAACTGTTTTTGCAGCTTTCCAAGGTGGGACTGGTTTTTCTGAATCTGGTTTTGGTGCCTTTGGCGGAGTAGCTGGCTTATTTATCTCACTTTTATTTTTCAAGTCATTCGCCAAAAATGGATTCAAAGGTTTGGACTTTGTAGTTTCAGAGTCTTCAGAGTTTGTAACATCCCCATTTTCATGTGCCCTGTTCTCTGCATTTTTAATGGTCCTGAGAATGGTTGCCACACTTCCTTCTTTGTCTGTGGGAAGTCTAGCTGGTTTTAATGCCGGTTTAGGAGTAAAACTAGGTTTAGTATCCTCCACAGGATTTGTCACAACTTTCTTGGGAATCGGAGGTCTATTCATTGCTGGTTCCTGCTTGTCTGCCAAGAAGGCAGCCGGAATGTTTAGTTTACTGTTTCTCTTGTTTATGCCCGGTTTCTGGCTTGCACTGTGTATTGTTGCAGCATTGCTGCTACTGGAAGGGTTTCCTGGTTGTGTTCTGCCTACATTACTTTCAGGCTTTTCCTGGAGTGCGGATCTACTCCCTGTTCTTTGTACTTTATTTACATCCTGTTAATTTAAAAAAAGAAATTAATAACACAATGTATACTTCATATTATGACATATATAAGGAAATTTCTCCTCTTAGTACTAAATAATTCTCTAGATAATGACTAATTCAGGAACAAGTATATGCAAAATTTACTCTTGTTGCAATAGACATGATAGAGTTGAAGGTACATGTACAACTTGTGACAATATTTTAGCAAGTATGTAAACTCAGAGAGAACTAATAGTAAAGTGAGTGGCATACAAATATGCAAAACAGTTCTCAATAACCTCAGCATGAAATAAAGTGATGATGAAATTCTAGTGCATATGTGTAAATCTGAAAATTTGAAAACTTAAAAGTGCAAAAAAGTGTAGTAACTTGAAAAGCATATTACAATATCTATGTAATATAATATTTATGATCATCTGTTCAAGGAAGTCTTAAATTTCAGGTCCCCCTAGTGTGCTATCAACAACCAATAAATAGAGGTCCACACAAAAAAAGATGTCCTTATGTGTATCTTGGTTTAAGTTTATAGATTTCAAATAACCAAATGTTCATATTGGGTACACACATTTATAACATGTACAGTTTTCTTTGCACTGCAGGTACATGTATTTCAAACATGAATGTCCTGTTACAATACTCTATAAGCAGAATGCAAGTACATTTCTCCATTTTCCTTTTTTTATGGTAAGCATGCATGAAAAATGTTAATGTTTCTGACAACTATTGATAGATGAGAATTATATGCTATAGAACCAAATAGTACATGTAATCACCATATATGAATTATTCCACTAAGAACTGCAATTTTTTTTATATAGATGCAAAGTTTTACAAACACACACATATATTTCCAGACATACCAACATGATGAAACTGAATATATAGAGATATATTGTTGATATTTTATCAATTAAATGTTAACTTAGTGTCATTTGTTTGCCGAGTGAACATTAAACTCCTAGTTTTAGGGGAAAATGAGCTAAAAAAAGATGATTGAATTTTAAATGTAAATATCCAAATTAAATTTTCTTTAACATCTAGACAATAATGCTTCTCCTCCCACCTCCCACTCTAGGCTTTATAATCCTACGCCAAATGACAGTCACATTTTTTTATCTCAGTAATTTTTTAAAAAAAACAAACAGGAAGTAAAATTTTATACTTATCCTTCAGTGGCTAGTTAAATACTTCCTGTCTCTGACTGTATGTATCTACATGTGATGGGGTCTTTAAAGTGGACTATTACACAAGTACCAAACTTTACATCCTTTGATTACACAAAATTCTCAATCAATTAAGCAAATGTTTTTTTTTAAAAAAAAACTATATAGCTTTTAAGTTTGCTTAAAAGAAATTATATCCATTTTTTTTTTTTGATAAATGTTCATCGACATCACATTTAAAGACTAGAATGGTGTAATAGTTTCATAAACGTAAATATATGACTGGGGATGATCTTAGATTTAAGTAGTGATTAATTCTAGTTTTACAATTATCAGTGACCCAGTTCTCTCAAATTCAGAGGACTTAGGTTTAAAAACTTCTGATCCATTAGATATTTTCTTCCTGTCTGTACACATCATTCAATGGTAAACTTATAACAATGACACTTGTCAAGCTGTCCACTTCAGAATGTAAAAGTGTCCAGAGTATCATACAAGGAATATGTGACTTCCCATGATCATAACTAAAAAAAGCAACAAATTACATTTTAGGGGCAATTTGTGAACACTTTGAAATCAAAATCAGCCAGTGCACCAATGCCTCTATTAACAGCATTATGGTAATTATTCAGCTTTAACGTGATTAACACAGTACATAATTCCAGTATCATGTATAAAAAATCCCAAAGCAAAACACTGAAGATAATGCATGAACAGTGATCAATCTCATGAAAAGTACAAACAATACAATACTGTGAACAGTCTATGCACACACAGCCCTGTAAAATCCAAAGCTTGGATCAAGTGCCTACGAGGAGTAAGCATCCCCTGCTGGCTGTTCAAAACATCCATCTTTAAAAATATATAACCTCTGGATTTCTCTCTCCTGTTCATTAGTTTATGGTTCCCTGATTGATGAATCAAATGGTTATATACCATGACAATCAATGACAGAATATGACAATAACAAACATCAATGAAGCTCAAAATCCATTCAAACAATACAGATTAGGAGCAGAACAAACAAGTACCGGTACTTCTAAAATATCAGAGGAGGGATCAGGTGCCACGAAGGATTTGGCATCTCCTGTCAACCGGTCATAGCACCTATATGCTCCTTAATTGTCATGAAATATTTTGTAAACAAGAATGGATATGGGTTACCCCATATCCAAAGATATTCGACTTTTAGATTTAATATGTTTAACAGTGTTTAATGATGTTTATAAAAATAAAACTGCACTGTCTAGTTATAGTTATAGAACTTGTGTAAATTTCGTGAGTCAGTAGCATTACGGTCACCTAGTCTCCTAACCGTGCTAACAAACAGTACACATACCTATGTCCGCAAGACCAGTTAGCCTTGGTCTATACACACGTGTGATGGAGTTGTCAAACGGACTCCCGCTCACAGAGAAGTTACGATGGCAGACAGAACTTTTTTTCATAATTAGATCACATGAATACAAATTCTGATTCATAAAAATTAAACGACTGTCAGTTTAGAAATCCCCAGGCCAGTTCGGGTTTTGTTACACATTTCATACGTACTCTCCCTATGTGTAGTTTGTCTACACACGTGCAGGACTGTTCAAAACATTCCATTTAACATTCTACACACAGAATGATTATTTTTTTTCTCTTAAAGGAAACTTTATCTCTTAACGAACAATTAACATGATTTTACTACAGTTGTTGATATAGTATAATCAATTCATCAGTGAAAAAATATCAACCGAAGAATGACCTAGATATTCTCTGTTATCAAACATGTTAAAAAGAAAAGCTGAGGAGGGAGCAAGCGTAGGAATATCAACATTTTTTATTTGCATTTAGGGGGGAAAGTTATCTTTGGAGGAAAAATTAACATTAATTTTGGTTTCTTTTACGTATGATATACACAACATTATTCTTATCATGAACAATTATGTTGTATCTACTTATTAATGATGGAACTATTTTCGTCGGAACGATTTGTGTGAGTCGCCGCTGAATACAGTAATATATCTTGCATTAATAGTATGCACTGATCGAATATATTAAAAAACCTGATCAATATATAAATTGATTAAAGGTCAGTGGTAATGTTGAAAAATTCTGAAGAAATTATAATTATATCTTCTCCATTCTTTTCATCTTACTTAAGATTCTATTAAGGTTCTTTTTTTTTTATTTAATCATCTGCTGTGAATGCATAACTTTTTGCTTCATGGTAAAGGAATTTATTTTGTGGACAGAACTTTTGTTATATTCTCTGAGGGTCCATACCTGCAGATCTTTAATTTGCATTTCCCCCATTCATATCAATTAATGATGAACATTATATAGAAAGTGGAAATAATCTGTTTATCAGACAGTGATGGATTTATTGAGTTGCATTGATTTCAATCGTCCAATGTGGTTACAAAAATTATACATGCACACGAAGTTTCAAGTCAATCTCTTAATGATAAACATTCATACATAGTGCCCTAGGAGGCATGGATATAATCAATAGGTCTCCATTAGATACCCAATGTTTGTGTCATCAAATTTTAGGTTTCTGATCAAATATATCAAAAGCCTGTATTTTTTTTAACAATGTGCATTTTTTTTTGGTATGGTCCATGCAGACTTAATTCTACTTTTTTCACTTAACTCTTTAGAGTTTAGACCATTATATTTATTTTTTTTTTACTTGCCATGAATACAACTTAGATCTACATTGATGAAATGACATGTTTTTATATACCGGTATATGACATGTAACATCAGATGCAACGATACACCGTGTTACGGACTGAACATCTTGTGTACAGGTTACACGCTATCATCCGACTAATATTTATGCTACTGACATGCGACAACCTAGAGAATGTCAACTAAAAAGTAGGAAGATGGAGAGAAAACTAAATTATTGTTCTTCTTACCACAGATATTCCGTACGCTGTAGTAACCGTTTCTTCCTCGATATAACACTACAGATAGGCCCTAACTTCCTTGTTTATATGACACGATTTACTCACCGGAAAGTCGCATGAATGGAGGCGTAGTCGAAAATCTGGACTAGTGTTTTAGAAAGCTGTAGGTAAAACCGGCCAATAAAAAATGTAAAATTTTATGTATCTTAAAAAAACACTACATGGAATCTTTAGATTCTCATCCTAATTTGCTAAAGAATTGGGGCTGATGTTTTATCTTTTATTTTTTATAAATGTTAAATTGTAAATTATATAAATGTTTGAACAAATATTCAACCGAGGCGAGCCGATTTAAGGATTTCTTGGGGTGAAAATTTTCAATGTTACACTTAAAATGCAATATTTATTATATTATACTGAATGTTTTATACAAATACATATTAGTGAACCGTGCGCGCATAAATTCCGCATTCTCTTTTTTTGCTTTCGTCAAGCAATGTACTGTTGCTACGCAGGAGGGCGTGGCTTTAATTAAAGAGTGTATTTTATCAAAAATTGGCAGATTCAAGTAATTTACATGAAAGTATAATATTATATTTTATTCTTTTCATATTCTTTTAAATATTTAAAGAAGATGCTTACTTTAAAAAATCAAATATTTAATGTTTTATACAAATACATATTACAGTGAACCGTGCGCGCATAAATTCCGCGCAGTCGCTATTTTTTGTAATACCACCCGTCGTCAAGCAATGTTGACTGTTGCTACGCAGGAGGGCGTTTTTATTCAGCGGGTAGTAGTGTATTTTATCAAATGTTTCTCGACGAATCAGATTCAAGTAATTTACATGAAAGTATAATATTATATTTTATTCTTTTCATATTCTTTTAAATATTTAAAGAAGATGCTTACTTTAAAAAATCAAATATTTATTGTTAATTAAC